AATCAGCCGTCTGGCATCCACAGTGTTCCCTCTGGATCAAGCCAGGCATTTCACGCACCCCCGCTCTTTGCGTGTTGGCAAGCTTGGGGTATTCTGGTAAGGAACATTCCTGTCTGTTCCAGCTTGAAATGAGTCTGCATTTCTTTGTCCAGCATAAAGCTTTGAAATGAATGATGATGCCGGAAAAAAAAAAAAAAAATCTCAGGAGAGTTTGCAAGGGTTGCTAATAAGCAAGAATAGCTAATGGTTAGGATGGAAACCGTCTTTTCCGTAGAACTCCACAGACTCAGAATCTCCTGGCAACACCCTGCAGTCTGCATGCCTTTGGAAAGCAGTTTCTAAGGAAGATTAAATGGAGGAGGAATTTGTTCCAGAACATGTTTTATCTGAATAGGGAGTGTGTGGGGACAGGAGGGAGAAATCACTAAGGCTAATCTCTGCAGTCCCTAGTGAGAGAAGAAGGATGCTGGGGTTTACGACTTGGGTCCTGACCTGCTCTTCTGCCATTGAAATGGCCCCCGTGGCAGGACCCCCGCCTTCGAGCGGTACGTAACCTTCTGAAAGGTCTGCATCGGTCCTATTGTAGGTTACAGGCGGACAGGAAACAGGAGTCTTTGTTGAGGTTGCTTGTTCTGCTGCTGCTGTGAGCGATCAAGGGCACCGGAGAGCGTCTCATCACCCTCTCTGTACCCCGAGTGTAGACCGTTTGTTTCAGCCCCAGAGGTAGCAAAGTCGGCATGATGGATGCGATGTTCCATATGAAGTCCCCATGAAGTTATGCAAAGTCATGCTGGCCCACGCAAGCATTGTATTTTTTTTTTATTTTTTTAATGTTTACTTATTTATTTTTGAGAAAGAGAGAGGAGAGAGAGAATGAGCAGGGGAGGGCCAGAGAGAGACACAGAATCCAAAGCAGGCTCCAGGCTCTGAGCTGTCAGCACAGAGCCCGATGCGGGGCTTGAACCCATGAGCCGTGAGATCATGACCTGAGCTGAAGTCGGACACTTAACCGACCGAGCCATCCGGGGGCCCCCCACACAAGCATTTTAAATGGGAATCGCATGGGTATCTGGTGCCTGATACAATTTGCCATTTAACTTGTATCTCTTTGACAGCTGGGAGGTTGAATTTGTTACTGCGTGGCCGTTTTCATTCTGTCATCTGTGGGGCCTTGGCCCCAAGTGTCAGTGAGGCCACCTTCCCGTTTGGTAGTTGTCCCTACTCTGTGGGCTAATGTCCACACTTTCACCCCTCCCTATTTGATCCCATGAAACTGTCACACTGGACCCATCTTATAATTGCTATCTGGAGTACCATAAGCTACCGCAGTAGCTCGCTTTGGGCTCTCCAATTGTGTTCTGTTGGTGCCATTCAGCTCGGCTCTCTGGGGCTATGAGCAATAAAGCAGAGGGTCCTTTACCTCTTCACTTCTCCCACATACGGGGCTCCCTGCCAGCACCCCGGTCCACACCAGCTTTTCATCTGAACAAGATCCCATCCAGTGCTAAATCTAGCTTTATTTAACGTAACTGTACAAGGTGCTTTCTACTTTTAACTCTGGACCGGGCAGGGAGCGGGACATTTATATAACAAGTCTGTGTCAGCCCTGCACCAAATCTTCTGGTCTCCTTAATTGGACCAGCGAGTAAACCAAGGAGCAGGGAGGCTTGGAGCCCCGCTCCTGCCATGTGGCTAATTAAATCCCAGGTATCTTAGCTTCCAGTCCACGCACTGTTCACACCCACCCCCACGTCCAGGCAAAAAGTCCCATCAGCCCTTTGTAGTGGACAAGTAGACCTGATTCCCTGCCGGGGTTGATGGTTTCCAGTTTGCACTTGCCCACGGAGAGCTCACCACCAGACAGAGGGCAGTGGTCCCGCCGACTGGCTCACCAACCAGAGAGATCTTGTCCAGTTTTCATATTCTTTCTTTCTTTCTTTCTTTCTTTCTTTCTTTCTTTCTTTCTTTCTTTCTTTCTTTCTTTTTGGCCACGTCCCCCAGCTGGTGGCTAGTTCGCTTCTGAACTTTCCCGGGGCTTCCCCCAGACCACAGATCTTCCCATTAAAGCTGTGGTTGCTGTCCTCGGACCGGCCGCCGGGGACCCCACGCTCTGACTCAGCGGCACATGCGGACGGCCTTCAGGGGACAGGAAAGTATGTCTGCACGTCCAGTGGCGGGGGTAGGACTAGAGGCGTGCCTCGAGGGCAGGGACTTCATCCACTGTCCACTGCTTGATCCCAGCACCTAGATCAGAGCCTGCCCACCACAGACCACCCCCAATGAAATATGTAGGGTGAGCCATGTGGGGACTGCAGAGACCTGGGAAGTACATGTCTCAAGGAAAGCATTCTCGTCCAAAAAAAAACCCAAAAGCATGCCCCTGGGCAATGTTTGGCTTCCAGCGTGCAACCCCTGTGGCTGAATAAACAACACTATTTATGGATGGAATGGAACAGTGGCCGCCAAGCAACATGGATGCCCAGCTTTGACGTGATATGTTCAGTCGGAGTCAGGATGCAGATAACCCTTCCTGGCGAAGCACCTCTTAAACCCTTCCCATCAATAACCCTGGCCCTTGAATGACCCTGTGCCCACCGGGGACGTGTGTCCATCTTCACACTTTTCCCTCCTACTGTGCTGTGGTCCTTTTTTCTTCTTCGGAGTCTCCTAGTCATACGTTTTTCTTTTCAAAAAACTGTACAAGGACACCTCTTCTACCAAAGAGGGGGCAGAGTTTCTAAACACGAACTCACATGCTAAGAGCAGGGCAACGCATCTGCTTTCGTACCTACAACGTTGCCTCTTCTGAAACGGACGCGAGCCGACAGTGGTATAGCCGTGTCGTGCCAAAGTCATGCCGAGCCCCGTTCATCCTCGCCGTGTGCCACGGCAAGTCCCAGCGTCCTGGAAAGTGGTGGGGTAGCCCCTGCAAGTTCCTCCTCAGATAAAGAGTTGGCACTGGCTGCTCCCTCGGACACTGGCCCTATTCTACTGGGTCTGTGTACTGTCCCTTCCATTCCCTTCTCCTGACAACGCAGACCGAATTGTTTGGGTTTATACCAAATCCCTTAAACCGAAAGGAGTGTGGCCGTTGGGTCAGGCAAGCAGCTGTTGTGGAGTGGACGGGCTAGATGGGGGGCCCTCTTATCACAGGCGCCCTAAGCCTACAAAAATTTGACAGATAGGAGACCATGTGCATGGAAGGCCAGAGCCAGTTTCTAGACTGTGGACTCACTCACTGATTTGTCACTCAAACACTTTGATTCCCTAGTGAATTGGGAAGGGTGTCAAAACATCCTCTGGGGCACCCGGGTGGCTCAGTCGGTTAAGCATTCAACTTCAGCTCAGGTCACGATCTCACCGTCTGTGAGTTCGAGCCCTGCGTCAGGCTCTGTGCTGACAGCTCGGAGCCTGGAGCCTGCTTCGGATTCTGTGTCTCCCTCTCTCTCTGCCCCTCTCCTGCTCACACTCTTTCTCTTGCCCTCAAAAGTAAATAAACATTAAAAATAAAAAAAAATCCTCCAGCAAAACAAAACCTGCAGTAGCATCATCTGCTTGGAGGAACAGGCTTTGCAAAATCGAGCCATAGCTGCCATTAACATTTTGGCCAGGATACGTGAGTCAGAAGGGTACCTTAGAAGGTACCAAAGGGATTAAAATTCCAGATTTTCTTGAAACACTTTACTGGTAAATGGTAAACACACACACACACATACGTGCATCTGCAATATTTGAGTTCCAATTTACAAACCCTTCGATGGGATAAATAAACTTGATCATAGGTAGATGCCATTACTATCAAGACACATTGATCTCCAGCTTATAATGATGTTCTATGTCCTGATGAACTCGAAGATGCAGATAATTCTTGGTGGTTGAAGTGCCTCTGCTCCATCAATGACTTTGGCCCAGATCCTGATTGTAATTTTCAGCCATGAATGTAAAAGCAGGAACTGACTTACGTCGGTGAGGAATCTTTTCAGCCACAGATAACAGAAAAAGAAGTGGGGTAGGAGAACATCAGCTAGATCTCTTCACTGGGTTAGGAAAACAGCGGCTTTGCTAGAGACCCCCTCAGCAGGCTTTCCTGTCGGGCTCACTGGGCAGAACTGTGTCCCATGCCTGCCCCTGTCTACAGAGGCGTGGGGAATGGAGTGCTCTGTCCCGCCTCTGTGGTAGAGGAGAGCAAGGGAGAATGGGCTCGAGAGGAGGTTGTGACACACGGGGGGCTACCGAACCCTGCAGGGAAACTCTTCCACTCTCATTCCACACATGACAAAACAGAGTTCCAGAGGCACGAAGCCACTTGGTCGAGATCCCAGCACCAGATGAAGGGAGAACCAGATCTGGAGCCCAGGTCTCTTAACATCCAGTCCAGACCTACCAGACCACACCATGGATGGGGTTTGACAGAGTCTGTGACTGACGTTCTGTTGAGGACATAGAATGCCATGCAAACAGTGAGGTGATGCGTCTAAAACCACCAGCAGTGGGCCGAAGATGTGGTAGCCTCGGCTTGAGGTCTCCTTCCTTCTCGGGGGATCAGATAACCCCGTGTGAGTCCCAGAAGCGAGGCCGTGTCAAATCAGGCCTCCTCCAGGCGCCTTCCTGCTGTGTAGATTTTTTTTTTTTTTTCAACATTTATTTATTTTTGGGACAGAGAGAGACAGAGCATGAATGGGGGAGGGGCAGAGAGAGAGGGAGACACAGAATCGGAAACAGGCTCCAGGCTCTGAGCCATCAGCCCAGAGCCCGATGCGGGGCTCGAACTCACGGACCGCGAGATCGTGACCTGGCTGAAGTCGGACGCTTAACCGACTGCGCCACCCAGGCGCCCCTGTAGATTTTTTTTTTAGCTTCTCGTTCCTTCGGCACAGCGATGTTTATGTGTGTTATGATGGAATAAGTCTCATGATGAGCACCAGATAATGTGGAATTCCCTTGTCATTGTTAATGTGCTGTTCTTGTCTTCTGTCCCCTTCTGTTATTGGGCCAAACAGAAGTATTCTGCTGTTTCTCTCTGCAACATCTCCACAGAAGTCCTGAAAGTCATCAACGCCACCGAGGAGCTGATAGCAGAGTCCGCAGGGCCCTGGGAGTTCCCACCTGTCCCTCCCGACAGAGAGAAGGGGACATTTCCTCTTGGGACAGACCAAGTGAGACTGGATGAACAGCTGACTTCTCTGGAAGAAAACGTAAGCCGGTGTGGGTGTTCCCCATCTGGGGCAAACGTGAGAAGACACTGATGACGTTGTGACCCGTCACAGACAGTGCAAGGACACATGCACACCACACAGCGTAGCAAGTATATCCTCAGGGAGGGTGTCAGGCCGGGTCCTCCAGAAGCCGACCCTGAGGAGAGGATAGGCGATTTCTTTCGGAAGTGCTCCCCCAGGGAGGCTCATCAGGGAGCGGGGAAGGACTGGGGAAAGCTAAGGGGTCAAGCAAAGGTGTGACCTTAGACCAAGAGTCGATTTGACCTGTAGGGAGCCCTGAGGTGTTAGCTGCATCTCAGGGTTGTCTTGACGCGAGCCAAAGGAACTGGCTTTTTCTACCCAGCCAGCAGGCACTTCGGTCTCTTGGCAAGCAAGCCAAACGTAGACACTTCTGTCTACACTAGCCCCAGGCGGTCTGGTGTGTAGGGCTGAGCGGGTGGGAACGCAGGCACACTGAAGCTGGGGGGGTGGGGCGATGCAGAAACTACAAAAGGGCCCCGGGAGGATCCAGGTGGAGCACTCCCAGTGCCACTGCAGGGCAAGGGCGTGGTTGCCCACGGAACTTAGGTCACAAGTGGTCTGCCCAGCTTACAGGTCTGTTTGCCAGTAGGGCGTTTCTCTAGCCTCCCTCGGGAGGAAAGGATGGCGGGAACAGATTTTTCCATATAAGTATCCCCGCTCATCGCCGAGCGTTTTCAGAAATGTCTGATGAGAATTTGCCAACACTTCAGACGAGGGGGTGACACAGAGAGATCTGGAACATTAGCCCCTTGGGCCACACGCACCATCACCAGCTGGCAGAGTCCTGCCCATGAATCAGATACCAAATGAAGTCGGGTGGTTCCATCTTTCCACACCCAGCAAGAACCAACCCTGATTTTGGGGTGCTGTCAGGAATGCAGCTCCCAGAAATCAGGACCGGTTGGTAGAGGCAATTTTTGCAGAAAGTGGCAACAACGACAAATCAGAATGCCTCCAGGTTAAAAAAAAAAAAAAATGCTGATAGTCGCTTTATCTTAAAAGGTAAAGACTCTCTCCCTCTGAATTCCCATAAAACCTGAGCAGAGGTCTGTCTGCCAGTTAACGTCACTTGGCTGCCCTTTCTGTCCACTCGTCTATCCCCATTAGATCGGCACCACTTACATTTTGGGTTCGATAATTCTTTGTTGCGGGGGGAGAGCGTCCTGTACGGTAGAGCATGTTCAGCACCCCAGCACCTACCCACGAGATGCCGGTAACAGCACCCTCCTAACTGTGACCATCAAAATGTCTCCAGATGTTGCCAAACATCAGAGAGGGAGATGCACGGAGGTGCAGTCGCCCCCAGATTAGGAATCAGGTGTATAAATCCCTGAAGACCAGGGTCCTGCACATCACGAGCTCCAGCCCTTGCCCAGAGCCTGACACAGAGGTGCTCAAAGAATGTGGTTACCTGATAGAAGATTCAGATGAATGAAGTCCTTTTTTTTTTTTTTTTTTTCCGGAAAAAATGTTTTGCTTCTGATGCGTCGGGCCTCTGTTCTTTAAATACGTCTATAATACGGTTCTTTCAGTGCTGATGGTCCTACAGTGGCCGTAATCCCCTGGACACATAGAAGTGAAAAAGTGAAAGTCAAGATATGGTTCACCAGGCAAGGGGCGTGGGTTTTTGTTTGTTCGTTTGTTTGTTTTACAAGGTATTGTATTTAAAAAAAAAAAAAAATACAGTGCGTGAAATATTCAGATTTAAATGACAACCGTGGGTTCCCGTAGCACACACTTAAAGCGAAGACAGCCTGCCTTTTTTGCCCTCCAAGGGGGATATCGTGGGGGGTTTCATTTTGTAACGTCCTTTTATTACACGCTATGTCTCCTTTCCTGGGGTTCCTTAACACTTTCAGTTCAAAACACATCCACTTAGCCGCCGATGTGAGAGGTCCCAAACCCCAGCAGGGACTGCGTTGCAGGCCGCCGTCTGTAGTGCACCTCACCCCTGCTCAGCGTCTGTAGTTTACTTCACCCCTGCGCGGTCCTGGGAGATGCCTCTCCTGGTCCCCAAGAGTTAACTGCCTCTTCCTCCTCCTCCCTTCCCCCCGTCCAGCTCTTCAAACTGCACCTCAGAAGAAACTCCATAGCTGTTCCTTTGATTTCTCTGGGTTTTGAGTCAGAGAAGGGATGGCTGTTTTCTTTATCTCTTTAGAGACAGAGATCACAGCCCTGGGCGGGTCTGGCTCTGCGGTTTCCAGGATGGAATTCAGCGGAGCAGCAGAAGGGCAGGGAGATTCTTAAACCGGCCTCTGGGTGCAGTGATTTAATTAAACTGGGGCTTTTGTCTGCGTTCTAAAGAGCGGCTCCCACGTTCCTCGTTTTCTCGCTGCCTGGCTCCTTTGTGCTCAGGGATGGGGACTGTCAGAAATAGCAACGGGGACACCTCTTGTCACCTTCTGAACATTGGCCACCGCAGACCAGCCCGGGGACTCAGAAATGAAAGAGAACATTGGCTCGAGAATGTTTCACCTTCAAAAATACTTCTGAAGGTTTCAGAGCTGCCTCTGATAACAAAAAAATGTTCACATGGCGAATCTCCTGTTTTCACAAGGTGCCTTGTTAATCCACTTAATTAGAGTAGGGCTTGGGGACTTCAGAATTCCCTTAGTCTCTCTGTGTTGACACTTCTCACCTGCTGCCTGGCTGGGCACTGTGAAATCAGCTCTTGGCTCCCTTGCAGGCAGGGGGATCCTCGGGCCAATCCCAGCCTCCCCTGTGCACCACGGGGAGCTCAGTCCCTTGGATTGCGTGCCTGCGTCTCTTGTGTTTGAAGCTCTCGCTGACAGCTGTGGGTTGTAGGGTTCCATTGTACCTGCAGGGACTTGGCTGGGAAAGGCAAGTTTCGGGAAGGGACTACAATCTGAAGTGTGGGTAAGGTCCAGGGATGCTGCAGCCCCCAGGGAGTAGCAGTCGGCGGGGAGGCGGGCAAGCGGTCACCACCCCTGGGCAGTGGAGCCCAGGGAGAGCTGGAGCCTGGGGGATCGCCCCCTAGTGGGAGCTGTCACCAAGAAGCCCCCACAGAGAGGGAGCAGGGGAAGGGAGACTAACTTCTTTCTCCTCCTGCCTTTGATCTGCTGGTGTCTCCCACCGGCCCAACCCACAAGGGGGCCTGGGTGATGAGGTCCACACAGGGCAGCCTGAGAACAGAGTGGGACAGAGAAGAGTGGAAAATGGATCTAGGAGTCCACAGAAGAACGGGCATGACCATTCTCAGACCTGTGGTGTGAGCAGTAGGGACCCACAGAGGCCATCTTGTGGATTTATGCAGGGTTATGAGTAGGAGGGATGAGTCAGCTGCCTCACCCCTCCACTGCCACCATTTGAGGAACTTCCAGACAGCCTGGGGCACCCCGTAATTCCCAGCACAGAGGCAGTAGAGGGACAGTCCCAACTTCCCTTTTCGCACTACCCCGTAACTTTTGGCAACACCAAATCTGTCGCGTAGGTAGTGGCTGGAGACACCGGGGGACTTCCCCTTGAGGGGCCCCAGCTCTGCCACAGAATCTGGGACCGGGCAGAGGGTGTTGTCGGTCCTCCTCCTCAAGGCTCTCGGGACCCCTACAGCACCGGAGAGGTTGTGGCCCTGGAGATGGTCCTGGCTCATCAGGTGCTCCTCTGCCCTCGAGAGCAAGCAAAGAATTGCTATCGGTTCCTGTCTAGCTTTAGTTCTCTAGAATGTGTTTCATGGAAGGTTAGTCTGATGAGATGCGATAAGACCAAATCAGTTTGATCAATCCGTATAGTGTCTTTCTAGGATCGTTGAGATACGGATTAGCACATTAAAGACTCCAAGAAGTCCTGCAGCAAAGAAATATGTTTCATTCTCTTCATCCTACAGGCTTTGACCACAAGGCCTCTTGAGACCAAAGTTAGGTCAAGTCCCTCCTTAATGAAACACCTGTTCTCGTCCCCTGACCCACTTTGAGAAGGGCGTTTTGAACCAGGAGCCAGTCCATGGGGTCATGGGCATCAGTGGCTGGAGCTTGGAGAAGACATAGATTGCACTAAAATGGTAGCCTTGGTTCTGGCCAAAAGTGGGCCTTTCGTCAGCCAGCAATTCCAGGTTCATGGTTTTCAAATGGGTTGTTTTTTTTGTTGGTTTTTTTTTTTTTTTTAAGATTAGAATAACATTTCCATTGTTATAGAATGTTAACGTTTGTTATTTTAGCCCCAGCAACAGAGCCAAAGTCATGTTGATCTATAACCACAGTAACTCTAGGACTTTCAGGTCAGAGTTCGAAACGTAAAAAGTCATAACATAACATGGCAAGCAAGATTAAGTATATCAGGCCACCATAGGACAGGGTGAATAAAGGCAAGGGAATTGGCATCAGCCCCCAGGAGCTCAAATCCCAGCTGCACCATTTCCCAGCTGCGAGGCCTGGGGAAGTCACCAGAACTCCAGGACCCAGTGTTCTCCTCTTTCACACCGTGACTGTAATAGCACCCACCTCAGGGACTGCCATGAGCAGTAAAGAAACGTCACATCAAACCCTTGGCTCAGCGCCTGGCTCCATAAATGTGTGTCGTCACCATCATCACCATCACGGGCCCTCTCGGCTCCATCACCGTGGCGGTGAGTTCCCGCTCAGCCCGCGTCGGTGCCAAACCACAGAACCTTCCCTTCCCCCTCGTGCCAGGAGAGTAGGCTTTCAGGGAACACAGAGTAAAAGACTAACATTCTGGCCTTACTGAGCTATTGCATACGGGAGCTCGGAGGCTTGGAGCTATTTCATATTGCTTTGATTTGGCAGAGAAAACAAAGAACGTTAGCGGATGACCATGCTGAAGACAAAACAAGAGACCGTCGAGATGATACAGCTGTGGGGTGTGATGATGTTGAGTTTTGTGTGTTTCTGGAAAAATCCAGGCTCTTGAGACCCAAGTCATGTCGAGTTGTGTTTAACCCCATTGTCACACTCACTCAAATTGTTGGTCTCATTTAAATAATAATTCCAAATTTTGTTTCATTGTGCAACACTGTAAGTTTATATTTAAAATTATCCAGGGGCACCTGGGTGGCTGTTGGGCGTCAGACTCTCCGTTTCAGCCCAGGTCATGATCTCATGGTTTCATGGGTTCGGGCTCTGCACTGACAGTGAGGAGCCTGCCTGGGATTCTCTCTCTCCCTCTCTCTCCACCCCTCCTTTGCTCACACTGTCTCTGTCTCTCTCAAATCAATAAAACTTAAAAAAAAATTTTTTTAATAATAATAAAATAAAATTGCCTTATCAAGGGGTGCCTGGGCAGCTCAGTCGGTTAAGCTAAAGCTAAAGCTAAGGCTCAGGTCATGAGTTCGAGCCCCATATCAGCCTCTCTGCTGTCAGCCCAGAGCCAGCTTCAGATCCTCTGTCTCCCTCTCTCTCTGCCCCTCCCCTGCTCGCTCTCTCCCTCTCAAAATTATATATTTTTAATTAAATGAAATTAAATATGTTTTAAAATTAAATAAAAATTTAAAAAATAAAATTATCTTATCAAAATACATTTACCTTTTATCCTCTCTCCTTGTCTCTTCCTCCCTCTCTTTCTCTCTCCCCTCAATTTTCTTTCCCTCTGAAGAGAAATTTTTAACTTCAGAACTTTTGAGAGACTAATTTTTAAGGTTTTCTACACTCAAATAGCTTTGAAATATTCATCATTTCCTTCAGGTGACAAACAGTAAAGGAGTGTATCTTGTTTTCAAGGCGAAGAATAAATGTCTTCTATTAAACTGTGAGGATCTTTTAGAAACACAAGTTCTCTGATACTCACATAGGACCAAGAAATGCACAACTAAGGGCAAACTGAAATATGGCAATTGTCAACAGACGTTTGATTCGTGGCCCACCATGCGACTGACGAATCGCTTAACACAACGGACGTCCACTACCCCAGTCAGTGCCGGAAGCCCCCCCAGCCAAGCCCATTGTGCCTGGTGTGGCACCAGTGCTCATTCATCAGATCTGCACCTGCCTTTGCTGCACTCTGAAATGTTGTGTAGAATTGCCAAGTTTTTTTTATTATTATTTTAAAAATGTTTAATGTTTATTTAGTTTTGAGATAAAGACAGAACGTGAGTGGGAGAGGGGCAGAGAGAAGGAGACACAGAATCCGAAGCAGGCTCCGGGCTCCAAGTTGTCAGCACAGAGCCCGACAGGGGCTGGAACTCATCAACTGTGAGATCACGACCTGAGCCGAAGTCAGATGCTTAACCAACTGAGCCACCCAGGCGCCCGTAAAATTACCAGTTTTTATGGAGATGCAGGAATCGGGCTAAGGAATTGACGGGGTTCTCAGTTGTCTTTCCCCAACACTCGCTGTAGCTCAGTGCAAAACGCTTGCTTGTCCTATGTGCACAAGCTCTTGGCTTATCCCAACTCTGCTTTATTTAACTCAAGTTAAAAGAGCTTGTGTGACCACCATGTGTTTTCATTCAAATCAACTCCAAATTGCTGCAATCAGATGCTTAGAGCTTTGTGGATGTTGATTAAATTTCAAAAAACCCCTCATAAGTAATTAGCTTCTTTAGATCAAAGAGGTCCGGTGTTGTTGGTCATTTCATCCACGTTATTCTGTAGGCAGAAGGGATTTGTTTCACTCCTCCCATGGTCTGAATGATTCCAACAATCCTACCTTCTGTTTGCCCACTTTTACGGCAATCGCTGTATTAACTCGAGTCAACGTTTTTTTCCCTTTAATTTTTCCTCACATCACTCCCTTTGTCTGACTCTCTTTAATTTTCAGTAGCTCTCAAAAAAACTGTCTTCCTTGACAGATGAATAGAGTGGACAGGTTTGTTTTAACATCGCGCTTTTTTCTAAGAAATAAACTATTTTCCTGCTATGAATTTCAGGTCCCTTTTAATGCCCTTCACCTGCTCCAGGCAAGCTGTAGGTAATCAATCAGAGAAAATTCATTCGAAATGTTTTAAATTGTTGTTTTAAATTAATTTCATCTCTTTTATGTTTTCTGAATTTTTCTCAATTACTAAATGCCAAGCAAAAAAATTTTTTTAATTTTAATTTTTTTTTAATTTTTATTTAAATTCAAGTTAGTTAACATACCGTGTACTAATGGCTTCAGGAGTAGAATTTAGTGATTCATTGCTCACATATAACACCCAGTGCTCATCCCAACAAGTGTCCTCCTTAATGCCCATCGTCCATTTAGCCCACCTCCCCAACACCCCTCCAGCAACCCTCAGTTTGTTCTCCATGTTTAAGAGTCTCTTATGGTTTGCCTCCTTCTCTGTTTTCATCTTATTTTTCCTCAAACAAAATTTTTATTGGAAAAATCGCATCACGAGTTGTTCTTTGCTTCTTCTGTCTTGGTATTCTGGTTGTGTGAATCACCGGACAAATTTGCAACTTATGTGGCTGACGCCATGTACTTTGGAGTATTTTATCAGATTTTCAAAACTTATAAGTTGCTATTTCTTGCCGGAAAGTTGAGGCAGGGGAGGTGCAGTTGACGGTGAGGGGGTGGTAAGACCTCATGCTACCATTTAAGCGTGAAGAAGGTTTATAGATGGGGGCATTCCCTGGCTTTTCCCCCAGTGCTGAGCCTGAATCACCTGGGCGCCCGTAAGGGACCCCACCAGTCCTGGATCCAAATCCTGAGCTCAAGGCTGCACCCCCTCTGCAGGTGTACCTGGCGGCAGGCACCGTGTATGGACTCGAAGGCCAGCTGAGTGAACTGGAGGATGCCGCCCGCTGCATCCACAGTGGCACCGATGAGACCGAACTGGCAGATCTGGAGGACCAGGTGGCCACGGCTGCAGCCCAGGTTCACCACGCTGAGCTCCAGGTAAGAACCCCCTCCCGCCCAGATGGAGGACCACCGTGAACAAGGGGAGAGCACCCCATCTTCCACAAGAATTACTGCAAAGCCTTTGTATCCGTTCCCTAGCACACTCGCATGGTCCTTTCGGGTGGATTCCACCCAACCCTCCTTCTAAAAAATTATAGCCTTGATAATATATCAGAATTTTCTTTAAACCTATGTCGCCTTCCTCTTTGACAAATCCTCTGACCCACAGGCAGATCTCCTTGCTATATAGGGTCCCATTGCATCTCAAGACCACCCTCCCCTAACCTGTATCACACTGTTGATGACTTACTTGATGCCCTTTTCCCCTCTATACACTAATAGCCCCATGAGGACATGACTATAGCTGTCTAGCTTAACACGATAACTTCAGTGCCTGACATCTGACACGGCTTTAGCACTTTGAATAAAACTGGGGTGAATAGCTGAATGAAACTGAAAATGTAGATTTCTTTATGAAAGAAAGAAGGAAAGAAAGAAAGAAAGAAGGAAGAGAAAAAGAAAGGAAGAAAAACAAGAAAGAAAGAAAGAAAGAAAGAAAGAAAGAAAGAAAGAAAGAGGAAGAAAAACAAAAAAGAAGAAAGAAAGAAAGAAAGAAAGAAAGAAAGAAAGAAAAGAGAGAGAAAGAGGAAGAAAAACAAAAAAGAAGAAAGAAAGAAAGAAAAGAGAGAAAGAGAAAGGAAGAAAAACAAAAAAGAAAGAAAGAAAAGAGAGAAAGAGAAAGAAAGGAAGAAAAACAAAAA